TATATATATATATCAACCTATGGCGATATAAAAAGACTCTGACACTCTGTCTGATGTTGTATAACTGGAGTTTTATCGTACAAGTTATTTGTCAGTTTGTAAGCGTTTGTTAATCTACATGTAGCCTGAGGTTAAATGCTTTAAAGCTGCTGATCTGTGGGTCTAATCTCTTTTACCTGGTGTCTGCTCGCTTATCCAGACTCTTGCTGAATGTCACTTTCCTGCTAAAACCACCACCACACCCTTCACTACAGCTACTTATGTAACCACAGTCCAATCCAACTTCACTGAAGCTGTTGTTTGACATATTTTAACATATTTGACTGTTTTTCCTGTGTCCCATTGGTTGCCTTCAGTTTCAACCAGCTTCCCAGCAATATAGCGTATTTTTAGTGGAACATTTATTCAGTATTTATGTTTTCACCATTACTGCAACTCAAATAAGTTAATTGATAGAAATGCTTTTTTTATTTCCCTGGTTTTGCATTTTAGCATACGATTAATTGAGTAATGTGATAATTTTTAGCAGTGACCTGTTGGTATTTGGTGCTTTGTGCTTTAGTTATTATTTGTACACGATTCAACCAAGGGTGTTTGTTAATAGTTTTAAATAAAATAAGATTGGAACAGTGAAGGTTTTTTGTGACTTTTTAACACCTGACAGTGTCAGTGAAAAAAAAATCAGTATCGGCCAAAATTGGAATTGGCAACTGAACACCCTTAGTTAAATCCTTATTAGATTTACAAATTAGTTTGCTATGAAAATTATTATAACTACAGTTAAGACACAAACTGGAAATACTGTTTAGTCAGAACTTATTTTATCTTTTCTCTGATGCCTTTAACCAAAGTTTTCCCTTAAAGTTTTTGTTCATGTGTTCAGAAATTATAGCTTTGTAGATGTTTTGGTAAATCTGATAAATAACATTAGGCACAATCTCGTGATATCACAAGATATGCTCATATAATTGTTTAAGGATTATTTCTAGCTTCCACATCAAATTTCAGCTCAACATCTGTACATTTGACTTAGTTTTAGTCACTTTTGTGTTAGATGATGCTGTTTGGCTTTAGAGCCACCATGAAGTTGTGGAAGTATGACCAATGATTATTTCCTGAGAGTTTTCTTAAAATTGAGTGGTTTGTGAAATATTTTGCTAACAGACAGACAGGGATGACTCCAACAATTTATGTGTAATTTTTTTAGCAGATATCTTGTGTAATGTGTACCACTTGGTCTATATGACTCTTAGCTACATGCACACCCAAGTTTGTCATAGTATTGGAAAAGTTGACTGAATTGCTGCTTATTTTTTTCTTTTTAAGGTCATATGGCTGTAGGGTCCATCTTGAGTTGGGTTGGCTCTACAAGAGGGTCAATTGTAGAGTAGGGCTGCCACAAACGATTATTTTTATAATCGAATAATCACCGATTATTTTTTCGATTAGTCGACTAATCGGATCATGCGTTAATTGAATATAAAACATACAGTTTATCACGCCAGAATGCAGCTGCTATTATATAACCATCGTTAGATTTTAGCTATATGCTAACTAAAAATAATTGCTGTGGAAGGCAAGTTCTGCCTTGCAGATGTTGCATTGCACAGGTTTTTCTTTCATTTTCTTAAAATGATCCTACACTTTTGAGCTCCGTTGGTTGGTAGCCATGATAC